GGCTGGTTAAACAAGTTTCACATGGCTGTATCACATCTTTTTCAAAGTCTATCAAGACATCAACTATTTTTGACTTCTGGTTCTTTTCTGGTCACTCTAATTAGACATTAATTTCACCTAATTTATATAGTATCAGTGCTAAAATCTGCTATCATTACCCCAGACTTAAACAAAACTACTTTAAAACCTTCTGAAAATTAATATGAATTCATGTTTTATTTTCAGGCTTTTAATGTAAAATTCTCCTTTTATGTCTCTTTCAAGTCTGCTTGAATGAACTGTGTATTACCAGTTGCTTTCCCATCTGTCTCAATTTAGTCTCTTTGACAAATTCCAATCTGGCCTGAGGAAAAATCAGAGTACTGAAACCACTCCACACTAGATTATTAGGTATGTTTTATTAACAGTGTCTCTTTACTTAAACAAAAAATCTCAACACTCCTTAACTCCTCTGCCAGCAATGTCTTGCAGAGCCCTATGACTTAGCCTCACACATTCTGAATGGCTTCACACTCCTCTCTTTCCACTCACTCCCATCTTCTGACTTTTCACCAGGTACAAAAGCGAGGGTTTTCCTCTTTAACCTTTAATCTTTAATATTCTCACTGGACATAACCTACATGGTAGGTACAGCATACAAACTCCATATGATTCCTTTCACTTTCAAGCTTCCTGACCATTACGCGCCCTGAAACTGCACAGAGACCTTCATGGATATTGTAGACACACTAATTTTTTCCCTTAGTCTGTCCCAACAGACTTTACTCTAAATGCTTGTGTTAATTATCCTAACTTGAAAATCTCACAAAACCAACTCCCACAAATGTAGCTTGCATTCTGTCACTGCTCTTTTGTCAGGATATTGCAGATTTTACGCCTATAGTTTAATCTCTTTTATTTTTCAAATTCCTATGTGGAATATGTGACTAAAATGTTACTTTGGGTTTCACGGGTCATTCGTTGGTTTGGGTTTTTCTTTCTTTTTTTGTGGGTGGTTTTTTTTTTTTAAACTTTCATTTTCCCTCCCCCCTCTCCTATCCTTCCCCAATCCTTTTTGCAGGAAATTTAATTACAGAATTGCCCATTCCCAAGTAAATAGAAGGCTGCACTATGCAAACAATAAAGATCTCTGTTTAAAAGCAATTGTTGGCTGGGTTTGACAACCCTTAAGGGAATAGGACAGAAAGTACAGGCTGCTGCCCAGAATTTCTTGTTTTACTAGAAATTAGTTTGAGGCTAAGACTTTTGAGTAGTCTTGCGAATCCCAAATCTACCATCTGCAAGTCCTTTCCAAGTTAGTGGGGGAAAAAATTTGCCGATTTCTACATATCAGTTAATTCATCAGAAAGAGAATCCTAACAGGTCCCAAACATGCAAAAACCCTGCTGTGCTAGTTGCTCAGCAAATCATAGCACCAACTGCCTGAATAACCCTGCAGCACCTGCTGCCACATTACTGTTAGGCAAGAATTTGTATTGTACTTTTCTTAAACTGGGCTTGTCATCCTGTCTGGGAACTGTTCTCTTCCACAAGAAGCCCAAATGTCACTTGTTTAAAATAAAACAAACCAACAAACCAAACAACCAACAAAACCCATCAAAAAAACCAAATACATATGATAAGCGTATCAGTTTCTAAATGCATGCAGAGAAGTAATTCGTTAAGGATGTGTTACGGCTAACGTGCCACGTATATAGTTTTAAAAGGTGAAACAACTCTTTCTTTGGCTGAGTTGGCCTTCACTCCTCACACATAGCCAGTGAACTGCTTCATGCCATTACTGGGCAACAGAATGCTGGCTGAACCCACCCCTGTAGCAGGGTGCCTCAGCATTGCTTGGTATTACAGTTGTAGTGACATGATCACGGTCTCAGTAGTAACCCGAAAGCCACGGAATTTAAATCATTCTCAAAATTGCTACATATGAATTATTTAGAAAGTTAAGGACAAATTATTATTTTTTTTTATTTCAACTACTAACCAATAAATGTAAAAAAATACCAACAACAAAACAAAAATAAACCCCTTCATCCCCCACATTAAAGCAATAGTTTTTGTAACATTCAAAACAGTGGAAACTATTTACTGTATATTACTATCAGTGGAGAAAAGCAAATTTAATTTAAAATCATTTTTTCAAACTCCCTCAGTGGATGCCAGATAACTCCAGCTTAAACAAATATTAAAAACTCATTTTAAATGGAGAATAATACAGACAGAGCTCAATTATTGAGATATTAAGGGCAACATTCAATTTGAGATACATTTAAGCATCTTTGCCTCCTGGAGTTTTTTACATGACAAGGCTTTAGATAAACACGATTTTGCAAACAGTAACTATCATATCTGATCACATAACCTCTGGACTGAAGCAGTATGTCAGCAAATATTTCTGATTATTTAAAATATTAAATAACTGTAATTTACTAGGCAGGTCTTCCTCAGAACAATCACATTTTTTTTTTCAAGAATTAATACCCATATACAAAAAGCATTTAGATGATCTGTTACAAATCTCTAAATAAAAAAAAAAAAATCACCTCTCTGTATAAAGCCCAGTTTAAATACGTTCTGGGACATACTTGTAGTAGAGGAGCTGCCTTTCTACGACACTCAGTTTGCAGGGGAAACTGTAGCAGCCAGGGAGATATAGGATAGGAATCACCTCACCTAACTTTAACTATCTAGACATTAGACGCCTAATTTAAGCTAATCATCTGGGTTCCCTCTACAGGTAATGGAGATAAGCATTCCCAGAGGGAGATTCATCCTGCTTGTCTTAGGCATCTCTCTTTTAGATGCTTGTAGATGGATAAAAAGTCAAGAAAGATAGGCCTCACTGACAGCCTGATAATCTGTCTTTAGTGATGCACAATTTCCAAATTAAACAAAATTAAGCCAGAACTGAGATAATTTCTTTGTTTCATCCTTTAGCCTTTAATTCTCCCTCTGATCTAACTTTTTCTTCAGTTGCTCCCATAATTATCAACTTTCTCTGGCACTTTATTTTTCTTACACTGGACTATGTTTTCCTGGAACGTGAGGAACTGCAACCAATGTCGATATGTTGCTGCTCTACCAGTTACAAACCCATTTACATGCATGTGCTCTAAATTGCAGTCATGTTCTGAACAGATAGATACAATGGGAGTATCGATAGCAATTGTGCTTTCTGGGTCTCCTCTACCACTTTCAAACATGTAAAAATCTGTGGCAACATTAAGGCAGTCAAGGTATATAGACGAATGCTAAAATATATTTACTATTCAAAGAAGATGGCTTAAATCAAACAAGGGAAAAATAAGGAAGAAATACCAATAGGGCCCTCACTTTACATATGTGAGCCCAGGTCACCACACATGTTTCTGGGCCTCTGTGCTCCAGAATATAGAACAAGTCCTAAAGGTGAAGCCTGGCCTCAACTCTCTTGCACTTAGGGTTTGTGGGTTCTCAGCAACACCAGCATTGCTGCATCGCACCTTTAATCACCCAGCCCTTAGAAACAATAGCCAAGATTTACAAGGAAGCAGGTGTCTGAACTCAGAAGACTCCTAAATTCATAGCCGGGTGCCTAAAGCAGCAGCAAAACTGACAAGCACCCTGCGCAGTTGCCCACAGATGCTCACCCCAGTAGTGAGGCACTTAGCATTCGTCTTGATCCAAAATGGATGTTTGTTAATTAAGAGTGTTCCAATAGCTACATGAAGTGCCTTGGTCAAGTGCTTGCGTGCACTAATTTCCATATTGGGCATGCAGTCTACTCTGCATCTTACTTCTACAGCATCTCTAGAAAATTAATTTTAGCAGTTAAAAAACCATTTTGAGCTGCATACATGAAAATAACTCCATTTCTACTGAATGACAATCTAATACGGAATAAGAATATTCACCGTTTTTTCTTACTTTGCCCAAATCCAGGCAATAAATTAGGCTTCTCAGCATGACTGTAAAGTGCTGTGAATTGTATAAACAATCATATATGGACACTGAAAAATAAACCTTATGCACATTGCATTATAGTTCCAAAAATATATTTACAGTCTATTACAAAGATTACAAATGGAAGTGTCTATGTAACGGGATTATGCTAATTAAAAGCTTTTTACAGATTTTCTTCAACAAAGGCAGGGGGACAAAAAATTAGTATAACCAAACTGATTTTTCTAATGAAACAAATAAATAAAATGACAAATACAACACTGTACAGTGACCTAAAAAGGGGGAGAAAAAAGGAGGGGGAAAATGATGCATTTAAGTTTTTGATAACTATCTTTGGTCCTAAATGTGGGAAAACACATTATGTAGCACTGAATATACATGTTTGTTTGTGATGCTCTGCAAGTAAAATAGAAAAATATAGTGCATTTTCAATGTATTCAGAGCTCACTACACATAAATGTGTGTACAAAACAAGACAGTATAAATAAAATTTACAAGTTTTACAAAGGAACATTTACAGGGTTTTTCTTTCATTTTTTATGTTTTTTGTGTGGATGCCCACATTATCAAACAAGACCAATTTATGATTGATCCCTGGGATCTTTCTCTATCAAAATCAATAGAAGCAGCCCAATTCTCTTTGGAAGTACAGTATTTCATTGCTAGGGTAGTTCACAATTTTCAGATTTTTTTTAAAGCATTTCTCTCTGTTTCATATACATTCCTGCAATATCTGTAAAGACAACGTTCATTATTGCTTATGGTAGCTAAATATTTTAATCAAACAAAATTCATATATAAGTAAATGGTGTAAAAAGATATTCCATTGAACAACTATTCTTGCATCTATGTTCCTGATGAATGACTGTTGTGTCTGTGTGAGCACACATATGTGTGTTTGTTCAGAGCAGCAAAAGCTTGTAAAAAACTTGAAAATTTTGAACTGCCCCTTGCCTCATGCTCTACAGTTCTCATAAAAAATCTATGTCCTTATTCTGACAGCTGGACTGCATTCGGATTAAACTCATATAAAATATATGCCAGCTATTTCTCTCAGATTTGCTAAAGCAGAGTACTGAAAAAAAACTGTGATGTGCTCAGATTAAATGGTTTAGGTAACACTGGAGAACTGCACCCATGTTCTGAGACACTCCTACAATCACTTGTCCATTCAAAGCAGTGTCTCAGCAGGTTTACAGTTGTAGATTTACATCTTAGAATATATCTCACTTTCACTCTAGTCCATTAAAATCATCTTGCAAACAATTTGCTAAAAGTGCCTAGAACTACTTAGGGGTCATTATTGCTTTTCTTTTTTCTTTTCTTTTTTTTTTTTTTTTTTTTTTTCTCTTTTATTTTCTTTTAAAAGATAGTATATGTGTAACCTTAAAAAATTCTTTAAAAAATATCAGAGCTCTTGGCAACTTGCATTTTCCTGACTCCCTGCCAATTAGCTAGCCATGTCAATACCGTGCTGATTTAACAAAAGTAAACGGCACAAAAGGATACCAAAGTTTGGACAGATATACATTGCTTGGTCATGCTTCTTTAATCTCTAGGAACTCAGATAATCCTTCAGAGGTACCCAGTGTAGTAATGTGTCATAGAATTAGCACTAAAAATGTCCAAAGATATAAACATCATACTAAAGGAAAGTCTTTATGAAGAATAAACACAAATGATTAAAAAAAGATTCAGAAATCACAGATTTAAGGAAAATATTTTGTTGAATTCAACAATAATATCATGATTTTATCTGACAAATATATTCTTTTTTAAATTTTTATGTACATTTAAAAAGTCTATTAGATAAAAAGGAGGTTAGAGAGCTCAAGGTGTTTGTATATTTATTCAGGTAGTACTTTGTTTATTGTCACTGCTGTTTTCCTTGCCACCACTGGTGGATCCTAATTCCCTTTTCATAAATTCTGGTGGCACTTAGGAGTTCAAGTCTGTAGGTGCTTCTTGTAGCTCTTCTATTCACTGCAGGAAGGACCCAGGAAATCAAGTGTCTTCTAGCAGCACTTCATATATACTGAAGGCCAGTGCTGTTCTCTCAGTCTGTCACCTCCCTCATAAGGGAGAAATGTCTATCACACTTGGATGCCAGTGCCGTGTAAATGTAGCATTTGTGCTCTCATAGTCTGAATGCTGCTCATGATTTTCTTTTGATGACCAACCAACGTGATCCCTAAACTCATCACATCCCTGGGGAAGATAAATGCGTACATTGTTAATTTTTAAACTTAGACTGCTATTGTATGGTATTCAACTGTGAGTCAAAGCTATGTAGTGGTCTGGGCTACAGGTTTCTAACATTGAAGCTACACTGGAACCTCAGCTCAGTACTGTGAAGTTCACATAGGTGCTGTTCAACTTCTCAGCGAGGCGCGCAATTACATGCCAAGTGTCATGTAATTATGTGTCTCCACATATGAGAATGAGGCCAGTATGTTTTGCACTACGGTAATCTTTTACTGTGGCTTTTAAGGATACCTGAAGAAAGAGACAATTCCCTTGTAAAATACTTTGGGTGGCTTTCAGGACAAAGTTATGTATAAATACAAGATTTTGGGGATCATATTCTGCTTCCTAAAGAGATGCCTAGAGAAACCCTTTGCATATTGACCCATACCCATCATGCAAATGAAAGAGGAGCAGCTATTTCAATTCCATTACTACTAGTACTACTGACCTAGTAGAAGCTTGTGGACTGATGACAGTTCCCATGTTATAGGCTGAGACCCCTAGTGATACCAGGCAGATAAGAGTAGGGTTGCAAACTTGAGAATATTGTTTAGAAAAATACTGCTCTCTGTAAGAGGAATTACTCGTGTTTGGCAACCACCAGGACAAGAATGTTGTTTGCAGGGTGCCAAGAAGACCTGTTTAAGATGGCAGCATCAATACAGGCCATGCTTGCCTTCAGAAAATTGTTTTGCTTCTATAGACTTTTATTCTGACACAAAGTCATTTCTTGCAGGACACAGACAGCCCGCAGCCAATTAGAAGAAAATTCCACAACTTCCTAGTATACGTCTGGAAAAAGGTACCAATTACATAGTGGAGGCAAAGTGGTTCTTTTCCCATACATACATATTTTGAAATGGGCCACATTCTTCCTCAAATTCTAGCCCTTTGCTGTTATTTCAATTGGACTCAAAAACAGGGAGAAAAGTGATGCCACACATAGGTTGCAGGGTATTTGCCCTTTCATGGGATGCTCTATTACAACATCATCAGCTGCTAAACCAGCTGGCTTAACCCCAAGTACCATGTTTGTACTCAGGGAAAAGTTTTGGAGTTGAACATTGTTCATTATTTTACCTAGAAATTCCCTAAATGCAAGTTAAACATGTCCAATACTAACTTACTCAATAGTCATCCTGGCAACTGATTCAAGAGAGTTGTAGCCTGCTGCTGTGAAATTATCCTTATATCTTTCCATCTTAATAGCTTGTAACCATTCGCCTACGGAGCAGAAAGTGGTAAAATCGGGAGTGTTCTGGTCCAGAAGAGGGCTAATTGGTCTATGGAGAAGGAAAAAGGAAAGTAAGTTGTTTCCAAAGAGAGTAAAACATCAGGGAGTATTTATCAAGGTGAGAGTCAAATAAGTTTGGGGTATTAAATATGTCAAGAGTAGAAAGTAACAGGCCTTTATACACAGTTTAGGTCATTCTGTGAATAGCTCTTGACTACTCTGTAGCTCACAATATGTATTTCCTAAGCTTATTCATGTAAAAGATGAAAGGTCAGAGTGAGCAAAATCAGCCTAATGGACTATTACCAACAGAAAATCAGCCTTTTTACCTAGCATGAAAGCAGCTGCAACTAAAGTTGCTCAGTAAAATAAAGATGCTATTCTTTTAAGCATCTTAGAAAATATAGTAGTAGCTATTCTCATTATTCAATTGTATGGGACAAAACAAAGACAAGGAAAGAGCAGAGACACAAAGTAAGTTGCTTAAGGTCACACAGTAAAACAGTTAGTAGAAGAATCAGGAGCAGAACATAGGCCAGTTGATTCCCTAGCGCAGTGATCTAGCTAGCTGATCAAAAGATAACCACGATCAAACAATTCTCCTGAAATTTATGAAGAAGCCATTAAAAGCTACACCATGAAACACAATGAGATGTAATCACTGAAAGGAGATAAAGCCAGAAAATGAAAGATAAAAATCTAGAGTGTAGCAATGTCAAAGTATATTGGCCAAGCATGAGTATTATTAATTACTATTTCTACCATAGCAGATCCTAGGGCAAGGGATGCATCATATGAAACTACAGTAGATGACGATCCTTGCCCCCCAGACTTCATAATTTTAAGAAACAAGGAAAACAAAGACTGCTAGTGGTGAGAGTGTGGAAAGAGCGACAAGCAGGCAGTAGTTTGCTGAGAAGTGTGTTAGTTCCATGATATTTGCTTTCTTTATTTTGGTTATTTTTCAAGAAAGTCCTTTTTGGCTTTGTTCAGCATGGTAAAAAAGAAGGGCAAATGAGGGAAGGGAAGAACAGGGGGAAGGAGGAACTGAGAGACACATGGAGTAAGCGTGAACTGGAACCAGCCACCAAGCAGAACACCCAGAACCCAGCCACGCGCACTATCATACGAACGCACACTACATCTTTTCTTACCTGCTACAGGTTCCCAGTGGGGTTTTCAAGCTGTTTGGGTTTCTAATCATTTTGTCCAGAATACCAACTATCTGCTCAAACTTCGGCCTTTCACCACGTTCCTTCTGCCAACAATCTAGCATCAGTTGGTGCAGTCCTGCTGGGCAATCCATGGGTGCTGGCAAACGATAGCCTTCTTCAATTGCTTTTATAACCTAGTAGCCAAAATAGTTAATCATTTTTCATCAAGGAATATTTAAGAAATACATATTGCTACCCAGTTCAAGAAATAAAAGAAAAAAGATCAATAAACTAAAATTTTCTAGCAGTGTTGCAAAAATATGAGTCTGTTGTTCTGACACTAGCCTTCATGTTTTCAAATAATTTCCCCGACTTTATCTTTGGGCTTATTAAGCATATTGTTCTATATGTGCAGAACATAGCTATATTACCTAGTCAAGTGAGCAGCAGGGAACAACAATTAAATTCACCAAGGGAGCAACAGATAGATTGATAAATGGAGTTATTTCAGA